CCTCTCTTCATGGTGTGCTCTGGTCCTGGTCCTCCTCTCTTCATGGTGTGCTCTGGTCCTGGTCCTCCTCTCTTCATGGTGTGCTCTGGTCCTGGTCCCTCCTCTCTTCATGGTGGGCTCTGGTCCTGGTCCTCCTCTCTTCATGGTGGGCTCTGGTCCTGGTCCTCCTCTCTTCATGGTGGGCTCTGGTCCTGGTCCTCCTCTCTTCATGGTGTGCTCTGGTCCTGGTCCTCCTCTCTTCATGGTGTGCTCTGGCCCTGGTCCTCCTCTCTTCATGGTGTGCTCTGGTCCTGGTCCTCCTCTCTTCATGGTGTGCTCTGGTCCTGGTCCTCCTCTCTTCATGGTGTGCTCTGGTCCTGGTCCTCCTCTCTTCATGGTGTGCTCTGGTCCTGGTCCTCCTCTCTTCATGGTGTGCTCTGGTCCTGGTCCTCCTCTCTTCATGGTGTGCTCTGGTCCTGGTCCTCCTCTCTTCATGGTGTGCTCTGGTCCTGGTCCTCCTCTCTTCATGGTGTGCTCTGGTCCTGGTCCCTCCTCTCTTCATGGTGGGCTCTGGTCCTGGTCCTCCTCTCTTCATGGTGTGCTCTGGTCCTGGTCCTCCTCTCTTCATGGTGTGCTCTGGTCCTGGTCCTCCTCTCTTCATGGTGTGCTCTGGTCCTGGTCCTCATCTCTTCATGGTGTGCTCTGGTCCTGGTCCTCCTCTCTTCATGGTGTGCTCTGGTCCTGGTCCTCCTCTCTTCATGGTGGCTCTGGTCCTGGTCCTCCTCTCTTCATGGTGTGCTCTGGTCCTGGTCCTCCTCTCTTCATGGTGTGCTCTGGTCCTGGTCCCTCCTCTCTTCATGGTGTGCTCTGGTCCTGGTCCTCCTCTCTTCATGGTGTGCTCTGGTCCTGGTCCTCCTCTCTTCATGGTGTGCTCTGGTCCTGGTCCTCCTCTCTTCATGGTGTGCTCTGGTCCTGGTCCTCCTCTCTTCATGGTGTGCTCTGGTCCTGGTCCCTCCTCTCTTCATGGTGTGCTCTGGTCCTGGTCCTCCTCTCTTCATGGTGGGCTCTGGTCCTGTCCTCCTCTCTTCATGGTGGGCTCTGGTCCTGGTCCTCCTCTCTTCATGGTGTGCTCTGGTCCTGGTCCTCCCTCTTCATGGTGCTCTGGCCTGGTCCTCCTCTCTTCATGGTGTGCTCTGGTCCTGGTCCTCCTCTCTTCATGGTGTGCTCTGGTCCTGGTCCCTCCTCTCTTCATGGTGTGCTCTGGTCCTGGTCCTCCTCTCTTCATGGTGTGCTCTGGCCCTGGTCCTCCTCTCTTCATGGTGTGCTCTGGTCCTGGTCCTCCTCTCTTCATGGTGTGCTCTGGGTCCTGGTCCTCCTCTCTTCATGGTGTGCTCTGGTCCTGGTCCTCCTCTCTTCATGGTGTGCTCTGGTCCTGGTCCCTCCTCTCTTCATGGTGGGCTCTGGTCCTGGTCCTCCTCTCTTCATGGTGGGCTCTGGTCCTGGTCCTCCTCTCTTCATGGTGGCTCTGGTCCTGGTGCTCCTCTCTTCATGGTGTGCTCTGGTCCTGGTCCCTCCTCTCTTCATGGTGTGCTCTGGTCCTGGTCCTCCTCTCTTCATGGTGTGCTCTGGTCCCTGGTCCCTCCTCTCTTCATGGTGTGCTCTGGTCCTGGTCCTCCTCTCTTCATGGTGTGCTCTGGTCCTGGTCCTCCTCTCTTCATGGTGTGCTCTGGTCCTGGTCCTCCTCTCTTCATGGTGTGCTCTGGTCCTGGTCCTCCTCTCTTCATGGTGTGCTCTGGTCCTGGTCCTCCTCTCTTCATGGTGTGCTCTGGTCCTGGTCCTCCTCTCTTCATGGTGTGCTCTGGTCCTGGTCCTCCTCTCTTCATGGTGTGCTCTGGTCCTGGTCCTCCTCCTCTCTCATGTGTGCTCTGGCCTGGTCCTCCTCTCTTCATGGTGTGCTCTGGTCCTGGTCCTCCTCTCTTCATGGTGGGCTCTGGTCCTGGTCCTCCTCTCTTCATGGTGTGCTCTGGTCCTGGTCCCTCCTCTCTCATGGTGTGCTCTGGTCCTGGTCCTCCTCTCTTCATGTGGGCTCTGGTCCTGGTCCTCCTCTCTTCATGGTGGCTCTGGTCCTGGTGCTCCTCTCTTCATGGTGTGCTCTGGTCCTGGTCCCTCCTCTCTTCATGGTGTGCTCTGGTCCTGGTCCCTCCTCTCTTCATGGTGTGCTCTGGTCCTGGTCCTCCTCTCTTCATGGTGTGCTCTGGTCCTGGTGCTCCTCTCTTCATGGTGGGCTCTGGTCCTGGTGCTCCTCTCTTCATGGTGTCAGTCTGTCCCAGGGCAGCTCTGGCTACAGTAGTTCACTGTGTGCAGAGTGAAAGTGTGTCTGTACTGTTAGTATTATGCTGCGTTCAGACCGGACTTAACTTTGGCGTCAAAAGCGACAGGTTTGTATTGTGTCTGATGAAGCTTTTGGTCTGAACGCACCATTAGTAGTATTATTATTATTATTTCTATTATTATTAGTATTATTAGTATTATTATTATTATTATTGATGAACGAACACAGCTCTTTGACAGTCCCCGGACACAGATTCTCACTGGTGGATCCTCCTCCTCTCCCCTCTCTCTCCTCTCTCTCTCCTCCTCTCCTCTTTCCTCTCTCCCCCCTCTCTCCTCCTCTCTCTGCCCCTCTCTCTGCCCCTCTCTCTCCTCTCTCTCCTCTCTCTCTCCTCTCTCTCCTCTCTCTCCTCTCTCTCTCCTCCTCTCCTCTTTCCTCTCTCCCCCCTCTCTCCTCCTCTCTCTGCCCCTCTCTCTCCTCTCTCTCTCCTCTCTCTCCTCTCTCTCTCCTCTCTCTCTCCTCCTCTCTCTGCCCCTCTCTCCCCTCCTCTCTCTCCTCCTCTCTCTCTCCCCCCTCTGCCCCCTCTCTCCTCCTCTCTCTCCTCCTCTCTCTGCCCCCTCTCTCCTCCTCTCTCTCCCCTCCTCTCTCCTCCTCTCTCTCCCCTCCTCTCTCCTCCTCTCTCTCCCCTCCTCTCTCTCCCCTCCTCTCTCCTCCTCTCTCTCCTCTCTCTCCTCCTCTCTCTCCTCTCCTCTCTCCTCCTCTCTCTCCCCTCCTCTCTCCTCCTCTCTCTCCTCTCTCTCCTCTCTCTCCCTCCTCTCTATCCTCCTCTCTCTCCCCTCCTCTCTCCTCCTCTCTCTCCCCTCCTCTCCTCCTCCTCTCTCCCCTCCTCTCTCTCCTCCTCTCCTCCTCTCTCTCTCCCTCCTCTCTCCTCCTCCTCTCTCTCCTCCTCTCTCCCCTCCTCTCTCCCCTCCTCTCTCCCCTCTCTCCTCCTCTCTCTCCTCTCTCTCTCTCCCTCCTCTCCCCCTCTCTCTCCTCCTCTCTCTCCTCCTCTCTCTCCCCTCCTCTCCCCTCCTCTCTCCTCCTCTCTCCTCCTCTCTCTCCCCTCCTCTCTCCTCCTCCTCTCTCCTCTCCCTCCTCTCTCCTCTCTCTCCCCTCCTCTCTCCTCCTCTCTCCTCCTCTCTCTCCCCTCCTCTCCCCTCCTCTCTCCTCCTCTCCTCCTCTCTCCCCTCCTCTCTCCTCCTCTCTCTCCCCTCCTCTCCCCTCCTCTCCCCTCCTCTCTCTCCTCTCTCCTCCTCTCTCCTCCTCTCTCTCCCCTCCTCTCCCCTCCTCTCTCCTCCTCTCTCTCCCCTCCTCTCCCCTCCTCTCTCTCTCCTCCTCTCTCCCCTCCTCTCTCCTCTCTCTCCCCTCCTCTCTCCTCCTCTCTCCTCCCTCCCCGGTCTCTGGTCCTGTCCTCCCGCAGACAGCTCTCCGTAGCTCGGCGCTGGTACGTAAACACATGTGCTCTTGTTGTTAGCGCTTTGAGCAGTAATGATGATTATTTCAAAGTTAGAATAGTATTGAAATATCCAGAGACACAAAGACACACAACAGAAAGTTCCTCTCATGAAAAGGATCTTTTTCCCCGACACAGTTGTGACGTCATACTGTTATGCTAGCACCTTTTATTATATTAAATGTAATATTATTATTTACAGTGGGAGTGGGTCAGGCGTGGGTTAGGCCGAGGTTTCATGCCAGGGTTACGTTTTTAATTAAAATATGCGAATAGGCAAAATGTGTTAGCATGTCAACACAGGAATGCTACCTGTTAGCTGTTAGCAGTTAGCTGTTAGCCTTCCCATAACTAATATTATTCTCCTGGATGTATTATGATTATTCTAAGAAACTTTGATGCTGTCTTTAAACTAAACTACGCAGAAATATCACAAACATTTACTGCGGATCCTGATGTTTTTATAATAAACACATTATTATTTTGACCTTATAAGCATCGACAGGTTAAAGCTGAGGTACGTAACTCTCAAACCACAAAAATAGATCTGCGCTGAAAAAAGTCTTGGTCAGATTTATTTACCAAAAATAACATTATGCTTAATTTTTTAATTTTTTGGCAAGTTTTTAGTGTTTTGCTTGAATGTATTTTGTCTTTCATGACAAGAAGAAAATACCTCAGAAAAAAGTCTGAGCAGTGAGTTTTTAAGCTTGTTTTAAGTATTTTTTTCCTTATTTCAGACTTTTCTTGTTTATATAAAATAGGTTTGTGATTCTATATTTTAAGAAAACTCAAAAATGAGTAAATGTTTTTGTGAATGAAATCATTTGGGGCTTGTATTTTCATATTTTCAGAAATCTTGTCAAGTCATTTCTTTTTCTATTGACATAAGTTTTCTTATTTTAAGCAGTATTATACTTATTTTCATATTATTTTAAAACTATTTTTCTAGGGATTTTTTCCAGTGTACGCAATAAAACCTGTATCTCTAGTTTCTGGTTCTAAAACAGTTGCTTCTTTCATCAATCATGTCTCTCTGGTCTCTGTCACATCTTCAGATAAGATTTTTCAGACAGAGAAAGGAAACGGAGAGGACTCAGCCCAAAGAGTCAAATAGTGACTCACAGGGATCAGAGAGGGCGAGAGACTAGCGAGGGTGAGAGACCAGAGAGGGCGAGAGACCAGAGAGGGAGAGAGACCAGAGAGGGCGAGAGACCAGAGAGGGAGAGAGACCAGAGAGGGAGAGAGAGAGAGACCAGAGAGGGCGAGAGACCAGAGAGGGAGAGAGACCAGAGAGGGCGAGAGACCAGAGAGGGCGAGAGACCAGAGAGGGAGAGAGACCAGAGAGGAGAGAGACCAGAGAGGGCGAGAGACCAGAGAGGGCGAGAGACCAGAGAGGGCGAGAGACCAGAGAGGGCGAGAGACCAGAGAGGGAGAGAGACCAGAGAGGGCGAGAGACCAGAGAGGGCGAGAGACCAGAGAGGGCGAGAGACCAGAGAGGGCGAGAGACCAGAGAGGGAGAGAGACCAGAGAGGGAGAGAGACCAGAGAGGGAGAGAGACCAGAGAGGGCGAGAGACCAGAGAGGGCGAGAGAGACCAGAGAGGGAGAGAGAACCAGAGAGGGCGAGAGACCAGAGAGGGCGAGAGACCAGAGAGGGCGAGAGACCAGAGAGGGCGAGAGACCAGAGAGGGCGAGAGACCAGAGAGGGCGAGAGAGACCAGAGAGGGCGAGAGAGACCAGAGAGGGCGATGAGACCAGAGAGGGAGAGAGACCAGAGAGGGCGAGAGACCAGAGAGGGCGAGAGACCAGAGAGGGCGAGAGACCAGAGAGGGCGAGAGAGAGACCAGAGAGGGCGAGAGACCAGAGAGGGCGAGAGACCAGAGAGGGCAAGAGACCAGAGAGGGCGAGAGACCAGAGAGCGGCGAGAGACCAGAGAGGGCGAGAGACCAGAGAGGGCGAGAGACCAGAGAGGGAGAGAGACCAGAGAGGGAGAGAGGTCAGAGAGGGCGAGCGACCAGAGAGGGCGAGAGACCAGAGAGGGAGAGAGACCAGAGAGGGAGAGAGGGCGAGAGAGACCAGAGAGGGAGAGAGAGACCAGAGAGGGAGAGAGAGACCAGAGAGGGAGAGAGACCAGAGATCGGCTTCTGTGGCTTCCGTCAGTTGCATTAGTTCTTCCTTCTCTCCACAGAGCTGTACATGGCCGTGCTCCTCAGAACAGCTTTCCTCTCGGCCTGCCGTCGTGCTACTGAGCAACGCGTGCTGTCCCTGTGTGCTGCGCCTCCTGCTGGACTCATAGGTACACTACAGGTTGGAGTGTTCCTATGTTACTGTCATGGCTTTAGGTGTTTAGACTTGGACTATATTTATATTTAGTGCTTTGTGTGACTTTGCTGTCGTAACAATAATAAGGATAATAAGAATACAGCTGCCCTGGGGCACACTGACAGAAGCGAGGCAACCAGTCTGTGCCATAGGCCCCTCCCACCACCACCAACCATTCACACACACACCAGACTCATTCTAATGTGGGGGAAGTGTCTTGCCTAAGGACACAACCACTGTTTGGTTATTTACAGCCGCCCCACTGTGCCACCTGGTGTTCCCAGAGGTCTCCCATCACAGCACTAACCAGGCCCTGCCCTGCTTGGTCTGACAGTATCTGGCTTTCATCTGCAGGTGGCTATTTAGAAAAAGACAATTGAGAAGTTTAGGGAGTGTAGGGAGTTTGTGAAGAGCGTGTGGACAGAAGGGTTGGGGGCCTGTGTGTCTCACTGGTGTCTGTTGCAGATGTCGGGCTTTAACCTGCTGCACCTGGTGTCCAAGGGCCAGCCGGTGACCCTGCGCTCCTGCAGTCTTCCTTCAGGTTCTCATCCTGTGTGACTGCTGTGGCTAACGCTGGTGTGTGCACGCTCTACCGCAGCACGCTAAGGAGATGCTAACAACACGCTAATGACACGCTAACGACGTGCTAAAGCTACGCACACGCTAAAGCAGAGACACCGCTAACCCCAGTGAAATATTAGAATTATTCACGGTTGTTGATATGGAATGTACCACAGAACAAACACATAAAAAGTCTCATGTGTAAAACACTGGGGAGCCGCAGGGATCAGTCCTCGGCCTCTGCTTTTGGCTGACGACACAAGCTTTTTTTACGCCGGAAATAATTTTGCAGAAATTCGAGTGAAGTAATGATAATACACTGGTGCCTCGCTACTGTTCACCAGTGATTGGTCTCTCTATGGTCTCTCTATGGTCTCTCTCTGGTCTCTCTCTGGTCTCTCTCTATGGTCTCTCTCTGGTCTCTCTCTGGTCTCTCTCTATGGTCTCTCTCTGGTCTCTCTCTGGTCTCTCTCTATGGTCTCTCTCTGGTCTCTCTCTGGTCTCTCTCTATGGTCTCTCTCTCTGGTCTCTCTCTCTGCTCTCTCTCTGCTCTCTCTCTGCTCTCTCTCTGGTCTCTCTCTGGTCTCTCTCTATGGTCTCTCTCTGGTCTCTCTCTGGTCTCTCTCTATGGTCTCTCTCTGGTCTCTCTCTGGTCTCTCTCTATGGTCTCTCTCTCTGGTCTCTCTCTCTGGTCTCTCTCTGGTCTCTCTCTGGTCTCTCTCTGGTCTCTCTCTGGTCTCTCTCTGGTCTCTTTCTAGTCTCTCTCTCTGGTCTCTCTGGTCTGTATCTGGTTTTGAGCTGCTGTGTGCTGTGTTCTGTCCTCTCGGGTATAATGACCATAACTGCCCCTCGTTACAGACCGTAAACGGCTCCTCAGTTCCCCCTCAGGCTCTGGGGCCTCATCATTAAAAGTTAATGATACTAAAGTATTTACAAAAACAGGACAAACATGACATTTCTTCTCCCAGACGTACGCTCTGTGACCTGCGACCTCCAGACTCAGTGTAGTGTCACACTCCTACCACTAGACGGCAGTGTTGGTCTGATGTGAACATATAACTTGGACTCTTTCAGCTGTTCTGAAGCTGAATTTACAAACCTGAGCTTTAATGCTTTGTGTTTGTGTTGTTCCAGGAGCGCGACGCACGAAGAAGACATGGCCTGTTACGTTCACCAAAGAAGAACTCAGAGAACGCCTCACGCCTCAGCAGTACCATGTGACCCAGGAGAGGGGCACTGAGAGGTGGGGAAGGGGGAGGAGGGGGGAGAGGAGAGGTGGAGAGGAGGATAGGTGGAGAAGGGCGGAGAGGAGAGGGGCACTGAGAGGTGGGGAAGGGGGAGGCGGGGGGAGAGGAGAGGTGGAGAGGAGGATAGGTGGAGAAGGGCGGAGAGGAGAGGGGCACTGAGAGGTGGGGAAGGGGGAGGAGGGGGAGAGGAGAGGTGGAGAGGCGGATAGGTGGAGAAGGGCGGAGAGGAGAGGGGCACTGAGAGGTGGGGAAGGGGGAGGAGGGGGGAGAGGAGAGGTGGAGAGGAGGATAGGTGGAGAAGGGCGGAGAGGAGAGGGGCACTGAGAGGTGGGGAAGGGGGAGGAGGGGGGAGAGGAGAGGTGGAGAGGCGGATAGGTGGAGAAGGGCGGAGAGGAGAGGGGCACTGAGAGGTGGGGAAGGGGGAGGAGGGGGGAGAGGAGAGGTGGAGAGGAGGATAGGTGGAGAAGGGTGGAGAGGAGAGGGGCACTGAGAGGTGGGGGGAGTGGGAGGACAGGGGGGAGGGGACTGGGTGGTGAGAGAAGGAGGGAAGAGAAGCACTGAGAGGTGGGGTAGGAGAGGTGGACAGAGGAGGGAGGGGAGGTACATAGGGGAGGAGAGGAGAGAGACATTGAGAGGTGGGGGGGACGGGAGGAGAGAGAAGGAGAGGGAGGGGAGGGACAGAAAGATGTGGAGAAAATTTGTTGATATTATGAAACTTTGTAAAACCAGACATGAGCCCTAACAACTGACCAATCAGGAGCCTTCTGGAAACTGACAATTGAAACCCAGAAGGCTCCTGATTGGCTGTTGGGATGCTAGGCTGTTGCTAGGCAGTTGCTCCCTGGGATTATGGCTCCTGCCCAGAGTCTGCCTTGACTTTATCCTCTCTGTTCTTTCAGTGCCTTCACTGGAGAGCTGACGTTTCACAAAGAGGGGGGCACGTACCGGTGTGTGGTGTGTACAGCGCCGCTCTTCAGGTCAGAGCCCCAACTGTTTCCACTCACCGAGGTCTGAGCGGTGTCTGCAGCGTCTGTGTGGCCCATTATTTAGAGCAATGTCTACCTCAGTATGGATCCAAAACACCGAAGGACAGGCATTTTGGCTCAGATGGACAGACATTTTGGCTCAGATGGACAGACATTTTGGGTCAGATGGACAGGACTTGTGTAATGTTAGTTTTTCTGTTTCAGCTCCAAGACAAAGTTTGACTCTGGATCTGGTGAGTGTTTGAGTCCACAGCAGGAGCCAGAGGAGGTCTCAACCTGATGACTCTCCCTGATGACTCCCTGATGACTCTCTCCCTGATGACTCTCTCTCTGATGACTCTCTCTCTGATGACTCTCCCTGATGACTCCCTAATAACTCTCTCCCTGATGACTCTCTCTCTGATGACTCTCCCTGATGACTCCCTGATGTCTCTCTGATGACTCCCTGATGACTCTCTGACGAATCCTTGATGGCTCCCTGATGACTGTCTTCCTGATGACTCTCCCTGATGACTCCCTGATGACTCCCTGATGACTCTCTCCCTGATGACTCTCTCCCTGATGACTCCCTGATGACTGACTCTCTCCCTGATGACTCTCTGACTCTCTCCCTGATGACTCTCCCTGTTCACTCTCTGATGACTCTCTCCCTGATGACTCTCTGACTCTCTCCCTGATGACTCTCCCTGTTCACTCTCTGATGACTCTCTCCCTGATGACTCTGACTCTCTCCCTGTTGACTCTCTGATGACTCTCTCCCTGATGACTCTCTCCCTAATGACTCTCCCTGATGACTCTCCCTGATGACTCTCTCCCTAATGACTCTCCCTGATGACTCTCTCCCTGATGACTCTCTCCCTGGTGACTGACTCTCTCCCTGATGACTCTCTGACTCTCTCCCTGTTGACTCTCTGATGACTCTCTCCCTGATGACTCTGACTCTCTCCCTGATGACTCTCTCCCTAATGACTCTCTGATGACTCCCTGATGACTCTGATGACTCTCTCCCTGATGACTCTCTGATGACTCTCCCTGATGACTCTCTGATGACTCTCTCCCTAATGACTCTCTGATGACTCTCTCCCTGATGACTCCCTGTTGACTCCCCCTGATGACTCTCCCTGATGACTCCCCCTGATGACTCCCCCTGATGACTCTTCCTGATGACTCTCTTCCTGATGACTCTTTCCCTGATGACTCTCCCTGATGACTCTCTGACTCTCTCCCTGTTGACTCTCTGATGACTCTCTCCCTAATGACTCTCTGATGACTCCCTGATGAGTCTCTCCCTAATGACTCTCTGATGACTCTCCCTGATGACTCTCTCCCTGATGACTCTGACTCTCTCCCTGTTGACTCTCTGATGACTCTCTCTCTAATGACTCTCTGATGACTCCCTGATGACTCTCCCTAATGACTCCCTGTTGACTCTCCCTGATGACTCTCCCTGATGACTCTCTCCCTGATGACTCCCTGTTGACTCTCTGATGACTCCCCCTGATGACTCTCCCTGATGACTCTTCCTGATGACTCTCCCTGATGACTCCTCCTGATGACTCTCTTCCTGATGACTCTCTTCCTGATGACTTTCCCTGATGACTCTCCCTGATGACTCTCTGACTCTCTCCCTGATGACTCTCTCCCTGATGACTCTCCCTGTTGATTCTTCTCTGATGACTCTCTCCCTGATGACTCTGACTCTCTCCCTGTTGACTCTCTGATGACTCTCCCGGATGACTCTGACTCTCTCCCTGATGACTCTCTCCATAATGACTCTCTGATGACTCCCTGATGACTCTCTCCCTGATGAGTCTCTCCCTGATGACTCTCTGATGAGTCTCTCCCTGATGACTCTCTGATGACTCTCTCCCTAATGACTCTCTGATACAATACAATACAATGTATTGTTGTATAGCCCTAGGTCACAACAGAAGTCATCTCAGAGACTTAACAAAACCATTGAAATCACCAACACAGGTCAGAGAATCAACAGTTAAAACACATGAAGAATATAAAGCACACACAGAAGAAAATGTCCATACATGTTGTAGAATGCTAAAGTGTCCTGATCATCACCAATCCTTTCTGTTGGACACTAACTGTTGACTCTCTCCCTGATGACTCCCTGTTGACTCTCCCTGATGACTCCTCCTGATGACTCTCCCTGATGACTCTCTCCCTGATGACTCTCCCTGATGACTCCCCCTGATGACTCCCCCTGATGACTCTCTTCCTGATGACTCCCCGATGACTCCCTGATGACTCTCTTTGATGACTCCCCGATGACTCCCTGATGACTCTCTCCCTGATGACTCTGACTCTCTCCCTGTTGACTCTCTGATGACTCTCTCCCTGATGACTCTCTCCCTAATGACTCCCTGATGAATCTCTCCCTAATGACTCTCTGATGACTCTCCCTGATGACTCTCTCCCTAATGACTCCCTGTTGACTCTCCCTGATGACTCCCTGTTGACTCTCTGATGACTCCCAATGATGACTCTTCCTGATGACTCTCTTCCTGATGTCTTTCCCTGATGACTCTCTGATGACTTTCTCCCTGATGACTCTCTCCCTGATGACTCTCTGATGACTCCCTGATGACTCTCTCCCTGATGACTCTCCCTGTTGATTCTTCTCTGATGACTCTCTCCCTGATGACTCTGACTCTCTCCCTGATGACTCTCCCTGTTGACTCTCTCCCTGATGAGTCTCTCCCTAATGACTCTCTGATGACTCTCTCCCTAATGACTCCCTGTTGACTCTCCCTGATGACTCCCCCTGATGACTCTCTCCCTGTTGACTCTCTCCCTGATGACTCTCTCCCTGATGACTCCCTGATGACTCTCTCCCTGATGACTCTCTCCCTGATGACTCTCTCCCTAATGACTCTCTGATTACTCCCTGATCACTCTCTCCCTGATGACTCTCCGATGACTCTCTCCCTGATGACTCTCTCCCTAATGACTCTCTGATGACTCTCTCCCTGATGACTCTCCCTGATGACTCCCCCTGATGACTCCCTGTTGACTCTCCCTGATGACTCTCCCTGATGACTCCCCCTGATGACTCTCCCTGATGACTCCCTGTTGACTCTCCCTGATGACTCCCTGATGACTCTCTCCCTGATGACTCCCTGTTGACTCTCTCCCTGATGACTCTCTCCCTAATGACTCTCTGATGACTCTCTCCCTGATGACTCTCCCTGATGACTCCTCCTGATGACTCTCTCCCTGATGACTCCCCCTGATGAACCTTCCTGATGACTCTCCCTGATGACTCCCCCTGATGACTCTTCCTGATGTCTCTCCCTGATGACTCCCCCTGATGACTCTCCCTGATGACTCTCTTCCTGATGACTCCCCGATGACTCCCTGATGACTCTCCCTGATGACTCTCTGACTCTCTCCCTGTTGACTCTCTGATGACTCTCTCCCTGATGACTCTCTCCCTAATGACTCTCTGATGACTCCCTGATGAGTCTCTCCCTAATGACTCTCTGATGACTCTCCCTGATGACTCCCCCTGATGACTCCCTGTTGACTCTCCCTGATGACTCCCCCTGATGACTCTCCCTGATGACTCCCTGTTGACTCTCTGATGACTCCCAATGATGACTCTTCCTGATGACTCTCTTCCTGATGACTCTCCCTGATGACTCCCTGATGACTTTCTCCCTGATGACTCTCTGATGACTCCCTGATGACTCTCTCCCTGATGACTCTCCCTGTTGGTTCTTCTCTGATGACTCTCTCCCTGTTGACTCTCTCCCTGATGAGTCTCTCCCTAATGACTCCCTGTTGACTCTCCCTGATGACTCCCCCTGATGACTCTCTCCCTGTTGACTCTCTCCCTGATGACTCTCTGATGACTCTCTCCCTGATGACTCCCTGTTGACTCTCTCCCTGATGACTCTCTCCCTAATGACTCTCTGATTACTCCCTGATCACTCTCTCCCTGATGACTCTCCGATGACTCTCTCCCTGATGACTCCCTGTTGACTCTCCCTGATGACTCCCCCTGATGACTCTCCCTGATGACTCTCTCCCTGATGACTCTCCTTGATTACTCTCCCTGATGACTCTCTCCCTGATGACTCTCCCTGATGACTCTCTCCCTGATGACTCCCTGTTGACTCTCCCTGATGACTCTCCCTGATGACTCCCTGATGACTCTCTCCCTGATGACTCCCTGTTGACTCTCTCCCTGATGACTCTCTCCCTAATGACTCTCTGATGACTCTCTCCCTGATGACTCTCCCTGATGACTCCTCCTGATGACTCTCCCTGATGACTCTCTCCCTGATGACTCCCCCTGATGAACCTTCCTGATGACTCTCCCTGATGACTCCCCCTGATGACTCTTCCTGATGTCTCTCCCTGATGACTCCCCCTGATGACTCCCCCTGATGACTCTCCCTGATGACTCTCTTCCTGATGACTCTCCCTGATGACTCTCTGACTCTCTCCCTGTTGACTCTCTGATGACTCTCTCCCTGATGACTCTCTCCCTAATGACTCTCTGATGACTCCCTGATGAGTCTCCCTGATGACTCTCTCCCTAATGACTCCCTGTTGACTCTCCCTGATGACTCCCCCTGATGACTCTCCCTGATGACTCCCTGTTGACTCTCTGATGACTCCCAATGATGACTCTTCCTGATGACTCTCCCTGATGACTCCCTGATGACTTTCTCCCTGATGACTCTCTGATGACTCCCTGATGACTCTCTCCCTGATGACTCTCCCTGTTGGTTCTTCTCTGATGACTCTCTCCCTGTTGACTCTCTCCCTGATGAATCTCTCCCTAATGACTCCCTGTTGACTCTCCCTGATGACTCCCCCTGATGACTCTCTCCCTGTTGACTCTCTCCCTGATGACTCTCTGATGGCTCTCTCCCTGATGACTCCCTGTTGACTCTCTCCCTGATGACTCTCTCCCTAATGACTCTCTGATTACTCCCTGATCACTCTCTCCCTGATGACTCTCCGATGACTCTCTCCCTGATGACTCCCTGTTGACTCTCCCTGATGACTCCCCCTGATGACTCTCCCTGATGACTCTCTCCCTGATGACTCTCCTTGATTACTCTCCCTGATGACTCTCCCTGATGACTCTCTCCCTGATGACTCCCCCTGATGACTCCTTGATGACTCTCTGATGACTCTCTCCCTGATGACTCTCTGATGACTCCCTGATGACTCTCTGATGACTTTCTCCCTAATGACTCTCTGATGACTCTCTCCCTGATGTCTCTCTCCCTAATGACTCTCTGATGACTCTCTGATTACTCTCCCTGATGACTCCCTGATGACTCTCTGATGACTCTCCCTGATGACTCCCTGATGCAGGTTGGCCTTCCTTCTTTGACCTGATGAATAAAGACGCCGTTGAAGTGACCGACGACTTCTCGTTCGGGATCCACCGCCAGGAAACCAGCTGTGCTCAGGTCTGTCCAATCAGGAGCCAGCTGTGCTCAGGTCTGTCCAATCAGGAGCCAGCTGTGCTCAGGTCTGTCCAATCAGGAGCCAACTGTTCTCAGGTCTGTCCAATCAGGAGCCAGCTGTGCTCAGGTCTGTCCAATCAGGAGCCAACTGTTCTCAGGTCTGTCCAATCAGGAGCCAACTGTTCTCAGGTCTGTCCAATCAGGAGTCAGCTGTGCTCATAGGGGCCACCTGTGGTACTGCAGACTAAAGTCACGTTACCCAGAAAAAAGAACCTGACGGAGAACCTGACGGAGACCCTGATGAACGCTGCCCTCTGATTGGTCAGAACGCTGCCCTCCGAGCACGTTCATGAGAGACACACACCTGCACATTAGTGTCTGGAGAAAAGCATCATGGGAGCTCGCCCACAGAACCACCTAATCTTTCTGTGCCCATGGGGGGGCGCCACTGAGCATAAGCCATTGATTTGAACAGGCGCCATCTTGGATCATCAGGGGTTGGACAGACCATGTGGACAGACCTCAGACCATGTGGACAGACCTCAGACCATGTGGACAGACCTCAGACCATGTGGACAGACCTCAGACCATGTGGACAGACCTTAGACCGTGTGGACAGACCTCAGACCATGTGGACAGACCTTAGACCATATGGACAGACCTTAGACCGTGTGTGACTGCTCCTCTCTGTCTCCAGTGCGGCTCTCACCTCGGTCATGTGTTTGACGACGGCCCCAAGCCCACGCGAAAACGCTACTGCATCAACTCTGCGTCTCTGAGCTTCCAGGAGGAGGCGAGCTCCACAGAGCTGACCCAGCAGGAGGAGGCAAGCTCCACAGAGCTGACCCAGCAGGAGGAGGCGGGGCAGGGGGCGGAGGCAGCAGGGGGGAGTGACGGGGGGAGTGTTAAGCCTTAAACATGATCCAGATTTATGAATGATGATGATGTGATTCTCTGAGTGTTTCTAAACAGGAAGTGAAGGGGAACAGCATCAGGCCGAGGGTCGACCCCTGGGGGACCCCACACACACGCACACACAGAACACACATAAACAAACACTAAAATAAATGTTCCAATATCGTCTGCCACAGACCTGCAGTTGTGTTTAGCTCCCTTCACACCAGTATCAGCGCCCTCACCCCTTGTGATGTCACATGCAGCTGTGATGTCTGAGTCACAGCTTCATGTTATTATAGTTTTTATGAACTGTTTTTGGTTTGAACTGGTTTAATTTAATAAACATCAGATACATCAAAATGTTTGATTTCATTTTATAAGTGCAAGAAGACCAGAAGAAGACCAGAGAGAGACCAGAGAGAGAGACCAGAGAGAGACCAGAGAGAGACCAGAGAGAGACCAGAGAGAGACCAAGAGAGAGAGACCAGAGAGAGAGACCAGAGAGAGACCAGAGAGAGACCAGAGAGAGAGACCAGAGAGAGACCAGAGAGAGACCAGAGAGAGACCAGAGAGAGAGACCAGAGAGAGAGACCAGAGAGAGACCAGAGGGAGACCAGAGAGAGAGACCAGAGGGAGACCAGAGAGAGACCAGAGAGATACCAGAGAGATACCAGAGAGAGACCAGAGAGAGAGACCAGAGAGAGACCAGAGAGAGAGACCAGAGAGAGACAGACCAGAAGAAGACCAGAGAGAGACCAGAGAGAGAGACCAGAGAGAGAGACCAGAGAGAGAGACCAGAGAGAGACCAGAGAGAGAGACCAGAGAGAGACCAGAGAGAGACCAGAGAGAGACCAGAGAGAGAGACCAGAGAGAGACCAGAGAGAGAGACCAGAGAGAGAGACCAGAGAGAGACCAGAGAGAGAGACCAGAGAGAGAGACCAGAGAGAGACCAGAGAGAGACCAGAGGGAGACCAGAGAGAGAGACCAGAGAGAGAGACCAGAGAGAGACCAGAGAGAGACCAGAGAGAGAGACCAGAGAGAGACCAGAGAGAGAGAGACCAGAGAGAGACCAGTGGGACACAGTCATTCACCCAGAACTATAGTACATGTTTTTAGTGGTAGGGCAAACTGGAGCAGCCGGAGGAAACCTACGCAGACACAGAAAGGCCTGGAGGTGGAATGGAACCAGGACCTTCCTGGTGTGAGGTGCTAACCACTGCCCCACTGCCATCATTACACATTAGTTTCTTTGGTTTTGTTGTGATTAAACTAAACTTTTCCCAAACAGCTGCACTTCTCCCTGAGGGCTCATCTTAGTCATCTCTTAATGCATTTTTCCCATGTTTGTTCATATGTTTTCTACCTGATGATGTCACATGGGGCATTGTTGAAGCCGCACTTGAAGACGTCCTTCTGTGCTTTGTCTGCGATTAATAAATAAATGCTCTTCTTATTGTGCAGAAGGACGTCAGCCTTTTCTGTTTACATAAAGAGGAAACTTCTCGTCTTTATGAAGCCGCCACAAAAACAGAGCTTTTCTGTCCCACAATTAAAGTCTGATTATGTTTCCAGATGTTTCCAGATGTTTCCAGATGCTCCGTGTGTCAAAGCAAAACAAACTCAGGACCGTTGTGATGTCGCGCAGAGCTTTGTCTCCACATCTGCAGAAATCTATTTGTGTATCGCCCAAAACACTGTGTACCTGTTCCCTGTAAACGTATGGACAATGCTAACACAGACTGTATACAGATGCTAATGCTAACACAGACTGTATACAGATGCTAATGCTAACACAGACTGTATACAGATAAGATTGGATAAACTTTATTGATCTGTCAGTGAAACATGTGACATCACTCTGTGCCAAAGACAGAAGTGTGAGACATGTTAAAGGTTAAAGTCTGTGCAGGTTCTTCAGTCCTGCTGCATTAGTGACTGAAAGTGACTTATTGTACAGTCTGACAGCAGTGGGGATAAAGGCCCTGCTCCTTCTTACACTGAAGGAGCTCCTCAGCTCCTCCTCAGTCCTGTGCAGGAGGTGTTGTCCATGAAGGAGGTGGCTTTGACTCCTCCTGTCCCTCACCTCCTCCACAGAGTCCAGGGGCCTCCTGTCCCTCACCTCCTCCACAGAGTCCAGGGGCCTCCTGTCCCTCACCTCCTCCACAGAGTCCAGGGGCCTCCTGTCCCTCACCTCCTCCACAGAGTCCAGGGGCCTCCTGTCCCTCACCTCCTCCACAGAGTCCAGGGGCCTCCTGTCCCTCACCTCCTCCACAGAGTCCAGAGGCCTCCTGTCCCTCACCTCCTCCACAAAGTCCAGGGGCCTCCTGTCCCTCACCTCCTCCACAGAGTCCAGGGGCCTCCTGTCCCTCACCTCCTCCACAGAGTCCAGGGGCCTCCTGTCCCTCACCTCCTCCACAGAGTCCAGGGGCCTCCTGTCCCTCACCTCCTCCACAGAGTCCAGGGGCCTCCTGTCCCTCACCTCCTCCACAGAGTCCAGGGGCCTCCTGTCCCTCACCTCCTCCACAGAGTCCAGGGGCCTCCTGTCCCTCACCTCCTCCACAGAGTCCAGGGGCCTCCTGTCCCTCACCTCCTCCACAGAGTCCAGGGGCCTCCTGTCCCTCACCTCCTCCACAGAGTCCAGGGGCCTCCTGTCCCTCACCTCCTCCACAGAGTCCAGGGGCCTCCTGTCCCTCACCTCCTGAGGCTGAGGTCCTTCAGTGTTGGTAGAACAGCTCTAATACTCCATCCACTTATTATAGATCCGTGACACAGATGGACAATGGTACTGGGACAGAGGGGGAGACAGAGGGGGAGACAGGGGGGGAGACAGAGGGGGAGACAGAGGGGGGAGACAGGGGGGGAGACAGAGGGGGGAGACAGAGGGGGAGACAGAGGGGGGAGACAGAGGGGGAGACAGGGTGGGAGACAGGGGGGGAGACAGAGGGGGAGACAGAGGGGGGAGACAGAGGGGGACACAGGGGGGGAGACAGAGGGGGAGACAGGGATACTGTGGCATCTTCCACTTCCAGGTGAGGAGAGAGGGGGAGACAGAGGGGGGAGACAGAGGGGGAGAGAGAGGGATACTGTGGCATCTTCCACTTCCAGGTGAGAGAGAGAGGGGGAGACAGAGGGGGGAGACAGAGGGGGAGAGAGAGGGATACTGTGGCATCTTCCACTTCCAGGTGAGAGAGAGAGGGGGAGACAGAGGGGGGAGACAGAGGGGGAGAGAGAGGGATACTGTGGCATCTTCCACTTCCAGGTGAGAGAGAGAGGGGGAGACAGAGGGGGGAGACAGAGGGGGAGAGAGAGGGATACTGTGGCATCTTCCACTTCCAGTGATGAGAGAGAGGGGGGAGACAGAGGGGGGAGACAGAGGGGGAGAGAGAGGGATACTGTGGCATCTTCCACTTCCAGGTGAGAGAGAGAGGGGGAGACAGAGGGGGGAGACAGAGGGGGAGAGAGAGGGATACTGTGGCATCTTCCACTTCCAGGTGAGAGAGAGAGGGGGAGACAGAGGGGGGAGACAGAGGGGGAGAGAGAGGGATACTGTGGCATCTTCCACTTCCAGGTGATAGAGCGAGAGAGGGGGAGACAGAGGGGGGAGAGAGAGGGATACTGTGGCATCTTCCACTTCCAGGTGAGAGAGAGAGGGGGAGACAGAGGGGGGAGACAGAGGGGGGAGAGAGAGGGATACTGTGGCATCTTCCACTTCCAGGTGAGAGAGAGAGGGGGAGAGAGAGGGGGAGAGAGAGGGGGAGAGAGAGGGATACTGTGGCATCTTCCACTTCCAGGTGAGAGAGAGAGGGGGAGACAGAGGGGGGAGACAGAGGGGGAGAGAGAGGGGGAGAGAGAGGGATGCTGTGGCATCTTCCACTTCCAGGTGAGAGAGAGAGGGGGAGACAGAGGGGGGAGACAGAGAGGGAGAGAGAGGGATACTGTGGCATCTTCCACTTACAGGTGAGAGAGAGAGGGGGAGACAGAGGGGGGAGACAGAGGGGGAGAGAGAGGGATGCTGTGGCATCTTCCACTTCCAGGTGAGAGAGAGAGGGGGGAGACAGAGGGGGAGAGAGAGGGATACTGTGGCATCTTCCACTTCCAGGTGAGAGAGAGAGGGGGAGACAGAGGGGGAGACAGAGGGATACTGTGGCATCTTCCACTTCCAGGTGAGAGAGAGAGGGGGAGACAGAGGGGGGAGACAGAGGGGGAGAGAGAGGGATACTGTGGCATCTTCCACTTCCAGGTGAGAGAGAGAGAGAGGGGGAGACAGAGGGGGAGACAGAGGGATACTGTGGCATCTTCCACTTCCAGGTGAGAGAGAGAGGGGGAGACAGAGGGGGAGACAGAGGGATACTGTGGCATCTTCCACTTCCAGGTGAGAGAGAGAGAGAGGGAGACAGAGGGGGAGAGAGAGGGAGAGAGAGGGATACTGTGGCATCTTCCACTTCCAGGTGAGAGAGAGAGAGGGGGAGACAGAGGGGGAGAGAGAGGGAGAGAGAGGGATACTGTGGCATCTTCCACTTCCAGGTGAGAGAGAGAGAGAGAGGGAGACAGAGGGGGAGAGAGAGGGAGAGAGAGGGATACTGTGGCATCTTCCACTTCCAGGTGAGAGAGAGAGAGAGGGGGAGACAGAGGGGGAGACAGAGGGATACTGTGGCATCTTCCACTTCCAGGTGAGAGAGAGAGGGGGAGACAGAGGGGGAGACAGAGGGATACTGTGGCATCTTCCACTTCCAGGTGAGAGAGAGGGGGGGAGACAGAGGGGGAGAGAGAGGGATACTGTGGCATCTTCCACTTCCAGGTGAGAGAGAGAGGGGGGAGACAGAGGGGGAGAGAGAGGGATACTGTGGCATCTTCCACTTCCAGGTGAGAGAGAGAGGGGGAGACAGAGGGGGGAGACAGAGGGGGAGAGAGAGGGATACTGTGGCATCTTCCACTTCCAGGTGAGAGAGAGAGGGGGAGACAGAGGGGGAGAGAGAGGGATACTGTGGCATCTTCCACTTCCAGGTGAGAGAGAGAGGGGGAGACAGAGGGGGGAGACAGAGGGGGAGAGAGAGGGATACTGTGGCATCTTCCACTTCCAGGTGAGAGAGAGAGGGGGAGACAGAGGGGGGAGACAGAGGGGGAGAGAGAGGGATACTGTGGCATCTTCCACTTCCAGATGAGAGAGAGAGGGGGAGACAGAGGGGGGAGACAGAGGGGGAGAGAGAGGGATACTGTGGCATCTTCCACTTCCAGGTGAGAGAGAGAGGGGGAGACAGAGGGGGGAGACAGAGGGATACTGTGTGGCATCTTCCACTTCCAGGTGAGAGAGAGAGGGGGAGACAGAGGGGGAGAGAGAGGGATACTGTGGCATCTTCCACTTCCAGGTGATAGCGAGAGAGGGGGAGACAGAGGGGGGAGACAGAGGGGGAGAGAGAGGGATACTGTGGCATCTTCCACTTCCAGGTGAGAGAGAGAGGGGGAGAGAGAGGGGGAGAGAGAGGGGGAGAGAGAGGGGGAGAGAGAGGGATACTGTGGCATCTTCCACTTCCAGGTGAGAGAGAGAGAGGGAGACAGAGGGGGGAGAGAGGGATACTGTGGCATCTTCCACTTCCAGGTGAGAGAGAGAGAGGGGGAGACAGAGGGGGGAGACAGAGGGGGAGAGAGAGGGGGAGAGAGAGGGATGCTGTGGCATCTTCCACTTCCAGGTGAGAGAGAGAGGGGGAGACAGAGGGGGGAGACAGAGGGGGAGAGAGAGGGATGCTGTGGCATCTTCCACTTCCAGGTGAGAGAGAGAGGGGGAGACAGAGGGGGGAGACAGAGGGGGAGAGAGAGGGATGCTGTGGCATCTTCCACTTCCAGGTGAGAGAGAGAGGGGGGAGACAGAGGGGGAGAGAGAGGGATACTGTGGCATCTTCCACTTCCAGGTGAGAGAGAGAGAGAGGGGGAGACAGAGGGATACTGTGGCATCTTCCACTTCCAGGTGAGAGAGAGAGGGGGAGACAGAGGGGGAGACAGAGGGATACTGTGGCATCTTCCACTTCCAGGTGAGAGAGAGAGGGGGAGACAGAGGGGGAGACAGAGGGATACTGTGGCATCTTCCACTTCCAGGTGAGAGAGAGAGAGAGGGAGACAGAGGGGGAGAGAGAGGGAGAGAGAGGGATACTGTGGCATCTTCCACTTCCAGGTGAGGAGAGAGAGAGAGGGAGACAGAGGGGGAGAGAGAGGGATACTGTGGCATCTTCCACTTCCAGGTGAGAGAGAGAGGGGGGAGACAGAGGGGGAGA